GTGATGTGAATTTTTTTGCCATATCGCACATTCCTAACGTGAGGTGTGTAAAGGTTTGGACAAAAACTTCAAACGTTGCTAAATTCTCCCCTAAAAACCCAGGAGTAATATCCTCTCAGACTGCGCAGGACATTTGTGTAAAAGTGCCACTTCGAACCATCTCAGACACATAAGACGACGTTAGAGGGTCCATACTGTGAAGCGAAATGTGTCGAGTCATCTTTAGTGTTATGCTCACCAGCCCTCTACTTTAAAGGCCCAGATCATCGTCCACAGGGACGGACTGCAGCTGAGTGAGGATCTTGGAGTCTCCGTCCATCTCCTCGGGGTTTCCCAGAGGCGAGCCGGCCTCCTCGTCCTGGCCTGGAGAGGGGCTTCCCAGAAGAAGCGACTCTCCCCCCGGCAGGGCTAACAGAGCAGGATCCACGTGCAGCTCGCCCTTGCCGCGGACGTCAAACAGAGTCAGGCTGGTGGACGTTGAGAGGGGCACGGGGCTCCAGGCCGGCTGGGACAGCTGGATGTTTGGTGTCACACCACTGTAGACGGGGCTGAGCGKGAGCATGCTCTCTGGAGTGAGCGCGTTCTGCGTCGTGCAGGTGACGGACTGATCCAAAGTGTGAGAGGAGACGGCAGGAGCCTGGCTGCCGGGGAGCGCCGACTCCGGAGCGCAGTACAGAGGAGACGAGTTAATGAAGTTCAGAGGAAAGGTTGAAAGGCTGCTGGACGTGGTGGTTGGAAGCTGGGAGGCCGCCGGAGGTGTGGAGGGGTTGAGGACTGCGCTCACTCCACTTGCAGGGACGGGGGCAGCGTCTAGGACTGGTTTCAGGGGCAGACYGGTGAGCTGGATGCCTGCTGGGATGGTCAGAATCAGCTTGCCTTGCTGGACACTCAGATAAGGGCTTCCACTGAGGACCAGGTTACCTAAAAACATTAAAAATAAACATTAATCAAGACATTTTATTTTGTGTTCAAATCGYTTGTTAATTGTTCGAAATAAGAAACAACAAACTTCTATAACTTATTGCAAAATGGAAACAATCAACCAGTTCATTTGACAGAAACTACCTTTTTAATAATTTTCATCTTTTCTGTCCTTTTTTTTTTGAATAAATCAACTTTTGGGGCCAACTCATACAGCAAATTCTCTATTCCTCAGTGGTTCCCAACCTTTTTAGACTTGTGTACCCCCGTGAGCCATTTTGTCATATCACTAGTAGCCCCTCTGTTAAATGTAATGATATTTCTTATTTTTACTTTACTATTTATTTAACACCTGAGAATGTTTAATTATCAGGCATTTTATTCTTTTAGACTCAAATTAAACATAAAGATAATTATGATGCCTAGAAAGTGAATAAGTAATTGATCCAGGGAACGGCAGGTGCAAAATACATCAAATACTAGGGGTGTAAGAAAATATCGATACACTGAAATATCACGATATTTCATTTTCCGATACTGTATCGATATTCTAAAGCCCTGTATCGATTTTTTTATTAAGGTTTAAAATGTCAACTTTCCTGCCAGCCGTTCATTTTTATGTTGTAGTTCAGCCTCTGATCACTAGTTGGCAGCAGTGAGCCAGACATTTGGCTCCTCTACCTCTTGAGTCTTTTGCTAAGTGTTGAGTGACCATATTATAAATTAATATTAAAAACTAAAAGCTGCAAAATATATATTTTCAAACCATTTATTGTCAAATTTAGTCTAATAATTGAAATAAGAAATATGAAACAAATAAAATAAAATACATGCAAAGCAGAACACAGCTAAATGTATCAAAATCATGTTTATGAAATATTAGAATTTTCTGAGACAATGAATTTTGTTTTTTCATTTTTTCCCCTGTAACAGGTTTTTATTTAATAGAATTTTTGGACAAAAAAAAAATCGCAATATATCGCGATATTTCGTATCGTGACCCCTCTGTCATATGTATCGTATCGCCAAATTCTTGTCAATACACAGCCCTATCAAATGCCCCAAATAAGCAAATTCCATGAGATTCCTCATTTTATACAGGATTCCATTTTGTGTCAATTTCGTGATTCCGTATGCATTTTCCGTATTGCTGAAATCATAGGGTCCTACATTTCAGTCCAATTTTTATTGTTTTTATTTTACACACCTGGGAAATTTTTCCACATACTCCCTGTAATATGCTCGCGTAYCCCTGGTTGGAAATAACTGCTCTAGATCAGTGGTTCCCAAAGTTGGGGTCATGACCAAGAACAATTTTTATCTGACTTAGTTGCTACAAAAGAATGGGGTTGGTGTATTTAAAAATGATTAAATTAAAATAAATGATTATTGTTTTTATGCCCTGTTTATTTGACCTGATACTAATGTTTATTATCCAAAAATAGTTGGGGGCACAGGTCTCTGCTGATGTTATTTTGTGAGTCAAAAGCTGAAATGTTTGGGAACTGTTGCTCTACATTGATCCTGTTTCTATTTATTCTTTGTCTTCCGTACCTTTTCGACATGTAAGTACTTGTACATACTTTAGCTACAGATTTTAACTGTTAAAACTGTTGAGGTCATTCATGAAGTTCCGACTAAGACATTTAGTTTTTGTAGCTTAAGACTTTTTAAAATATTTAACTTTATTTAAAATGCAATTCGCTGCGGAAATACAATAAGATCTCTTCGATTCTTTGAAAAAACATTGGGCCTCATGCAAGAACATGTTGAACTGATGAATGCGTATTAGGTGCTCGCGCACGAGGAGAGGAGATTAGCATAATTACCACCCTAAAAACACCAGGCTATGTTTCCTGCCCCACATACCAGGAAGTGTCCATTCATAAATGACATTGCAAAGTAAAAAAGAAGAACTTTACAAGTGTGGAGATTGAAGTCCTGCTCTCAGAGATCCAGAAAACAAAGGTCATTTTAAGCAGTGTCAGCTGTGAATTATAGGAGCTGCTAAAGCAGAGGAATGAAATGTGTTGTTAATGTYGTGTCTCCTGTGGGTCGTATACAGTCACAGAAATAAAAATATAAATCATATTCATCTCTCTCTAGTCCTGCTCCACTTTTCCTTTGGTCAAATATTTTTAATTTAAGCGTAAACAACTGTGTGACATAGTTTTYATTTATTCAGAAGAGCAGTCACACACCGCTCCTCCCCTCCTGCAAGTGTCATTTGCGTTTCTGGAAAAAAAAGCATTTATGTCTCCAAATTTCAATTAACTTATTAAATTCATATTAATATTGTAGTGTTATACAACAGCATTAATAGCCAATTTATTAATCTAAGCAATTTATGTTGTTAGTTACATTTAAAATCTAATTCCAATTCAAACAGAATAACCTATTGTCAACATAATTATTGAGTGTGATTTATTTTCAACTCAAAATATCTTCAAACTAATGAAATATAAAGTTATTAGTGAAGAAAATCAGTCTGGATAACAGCAGACTGACTGCTCGTAAAATATACGACAGGTCTGGACCACTCATCAATTTTGTTCGTATCTGAGAAAAATCTTACAATATGAAAAAAATTGGTGAATGACAAGTTTTCCTAAATCACTCGTACTCACAACTTAAAAACAAATCTGTTCATACAAACGGTTCTTGCATGAGGCCCAACATTCTCTTTGAGATCTACTTGAACCTATTTGTTCTATTTTTGTCTTATTTGCTACTTTTAAAAAGGTAAATGGACTGTACTTACATAGTGCCTTTCTATCCAACCAGGATACTCAAAGTGCTTTCCTCATTTACCCATTCACACWGCATCTACTACATCTCTCTACAAAGCTAACGTGTACCCCCCCCAGAATAATCCACACTGAATATTTAGTTTCAGTCAGTTTAAAAATAATTACTCTCTGTGTGTAATTTTATCATTTCCTTCTCAAGTTCACCTCAAAAGCTTATTTTCTTGTTCCATACCCAAATACATTAAATGGAACTTTATATTAAAAAAAAAACATAATCTGTGTACCTGGAGAAGCAGGGGGCAGCTGAATGATTCCTGGGTTTAGCAGCTGCACTGCGGGGGCCATGCTATTCGGGGTCCCCGCACTCTGAACGGGTCTCAGCTGGTTCACTCTGAGCGGGCCCGGAGCGACCCCTCCTGCAGCCGGAGCGGGAGCTAGGATCTGTAAGGGCATCCCGGCAGTGGGGATGGAAAGAGAAGCGCTAGCTGGGACCACCTGAGGGAAGGAGATGTTGGAGGAGGTTTGGATGGAGGAGACCGGGACCAGCTGAGGCACTGAGAGCGGGACGGGCGCTGCGCTGCCTTTAGCCTGGGGGGCCGGGACCACTTGCGTTGGGGAAGATATAGAAATGGCCTGGACTTTGCTCGGCGTGGCGTTTACGGTTTGCTCTCCCAGCTGGTGCATCATCTGCTGCTGGAGGTTGTTACCGTTGAGCTGCGAGATGGAAACGATGGTAGTGGGGCACTGAGACGTGGTTGTGGGGGCACCCAGTTGAGCTGGCGTGCTGCTCGTGCTTAGAGTCTGGGGGGGTTGGAAATGAGGAGCCGGCGAAGGGAGTGAGGACATTGGGACCAGCTGAGGGCACTGGGCTCCTGAAGAGTGCTGGACCAGATGGGACACTGGGGTCCCCTGAATGGAGGGCACCACCTGGGGCAACGAGATGGGCTGAGGGGTGGAGTTACTGGAGAAAATGACAGAGCTCGAGGGGTTTAACTGGGAACCAGAGGCGACGCTGGCGACGTGCGGACTGGACATCGTCGCTGAAGAAGAAATAACCAAGCCTGCAGGTGACAGAGAAGCTGGGGGGGTCAGGAACTCCTGATGTTGAGGGGTCCGTGCTAAAACTATTGATGGAAGACTGGTGGGAGAGGACAGAGTTGGTGAGGAGGAGGATAAAGATGAGGAAGACGATGTAACAGTCTCGTTKCTCTCTGATTTAGGAGCGATGATGAAATCCATTTCGTCGTCGTTTTCAGTTTTGGATTGCAGAGGTGGAGAAATGATAGTTTGAGAGTTAGGTACGGTGTTAGTGCTCAAAACTTTAGACGCCAAGACCGTGACTTCCTGTTCAGCCTCAGAAGCTGTCTGCTGCGGCAGCTGCCCGCTCGCCCCAGGTTTGGTTATTACCGGAGCCCCGTTCAGGATTAGAGGGGAGTTKGAGGCGACGGGACTCAGGGTGACGGTACGGCATTCACCCAGGTTGAGCCCGTTGATTATGACGCCGGCCCCTGCACCGGACAGGAGCGAGTTTCCATTCAGGAGCAAAGGCTGAGAGGCTGTGAGGAAGCTGYTGGACCCGTTCAGGATGAGCTGACTTCCTGCGTTACACGGCACCGCAGAAACAGAGATGATGGGCGCCGCGGAGATGGCAGCCTTCTCCGGTCTGTCGGGAGCGTCGTCCATTACGCTCGCCTCATCTTCAGTGCTGTGGTTCCCATCAGACTCACTGAAAAATAAAACAATAATCAAAACAATTATATAAACAGTTTCCTAACTTTTTGATTATATGTACTTTATTAATATAAAGTATTTTTGAATTTGAATTGAATTATTTGCAGACTCATGGTCAATAATACATAAAAAAAGACAATAAAAAAATTTAAAACATCTCTGGGAAAGTCCACACATTAAAGATTATTAGCTAAACAGTTTGATCAAAGTTTAACATTATTTTTTTCAATWTAATCTCAATCACTGGTGACTGCAGTTGATTTGAAGACTTTACATCATCGGAAAACTTAGTTACCATCTTTGCCTGGTACTGAATGCCCAAGTCAGTGTGTGTGTGTATTGTGTGATTAGTCAGAACATTAGGGATGTCCCGATCCAGATGTTTTGGSTCCCGATACAATCCAATGTTTTTAGTGATTAGTCTTTCCGATACCGATCAGATAGCTTTATTTCTTTCCAAGTGACAAGGCTGGTAGTGTTAAAACTAGCCCTGCTGTTTCGACGAGAAACATCCAGTTTGCAGATTTTGCAAGATGCAGTTTCAGCATCATTGTGTCCCATTGAAAAGTGTTCCCACACTGTGGACATGGTTGCACACTTGTGTGCGTCTTGACTTCTTAATGGCAGTTGTGAAGCATGATGATGCTGAAAACTGTCACGAAAACTGGATCGGCTCGATCATATGACTAAATCAGATTCTACCCGATTTTCAAAAAATGGCCGTATCTGCCACCGATACCGATCCTGAGTATCTGATTGGGACATCCCTACAGAACACTGTGGGAGTGTTCACACTAAAAAGTGRGTGAACTACACTTTCACTTCAGCTGTTTCACTAACTCACACGAAAACTTGGCCATTGTTTTGTTTTGTTTTTTACGTTGGATGCCCTTCCTGACGCAAACGTTGACCACCTGGCTACGACGGCCCACTTGTGTGGAGCAGAGGGGAGGAGCAGTTGATGAAGTTGAAGTAGACATATCCTGCTTTTACAATCATGCTTTTATAATCCTTCCTTTGTAACATTTTTGTGCATTAAATCCTTTATGCAGGGGTCCTAAACCCCTCGGCTGCCATCAATCTTGTGGTGCAGAGGTTGTGAAGTTGTGGAAGGAGGCTCACCAGGACTTCTCCCCCAGTTTCTAAAATGTCTGTGCAAGAAAAACAACATCTCACGGCCACGTCAGCGAGATTTGWTGTCTTGTGAAGTATAACCAGAGTTGTGAACTAAAGTAAAAATACTTTGTTACATTACTTAAGTAGAAATTCTAGTAATCTAAACTTTACTTGAATGACCATTTTTAAGCAAAACTTTTTACTTGTACTCCTTACATTTTATCAAATGTTGAAAGTAGAAAGTTGTTACATTTCATTTTGACATGTTTTCATTATAAAAATATATAAGCTTATCTGGATAAATCTCACCTCCAGGATATATCTTAGTACAAAAATGACTGTAGAGATATGTATGCAGCTAAAACAGGTAGAMTATTTAGCCTAAAGTTTTCAACACTGATTTTAATATAACATTATAGTCATCATGGCCTTAAAAAGGTTTTTGGGGAGGTCACCTGCCAATAAATGTCTTTTAAGAAATTCTATCCACTCACTTTTACTTTTAATACTTAAGTACACTAAATGTCAGATACTTATTTTAGTTATTATTATTATTATTTTTAGATTTTATTAGCCATTATTGTCCCACAGAGGGGAAATTAATTCTCTGCATTTTACGCATCCCACATGTGAACACACATGGAGCAGTGGGCTGCCAATTACAGTGTCCGGGGAGCAGCTGAGGGGTTAAGGGCCCATCCTGGTTCAGGGAGTTGAACCGGTGACCTTCCGACCACATACTCATCTTCTAAAGTTAGAGGAGACTTAGTGATTTCATAATAAGATACTTGCACTTTTACTCAAGTATCACTTTGAAGTACTTAAACAAAACAGGGTATAACCACAACTAAAACTCTGGCCTAAAAGGCAGTGGGCGATATTCATTCCTTCAAGGATACACCTGATCTCCATAAGTTTAGTGCAAATAAAACGGCCGATCAGAACCCACCATAAACTCTGAGGTATGTGATAAGCCCCCCTGTGCTCAGTCTTATCTACCCAAAGCTTGGTTGTAAAACTCTGATTTGAGCCTGTCTGAAAGCATCCGCTCTCCTCCCCCCAAAGAGCTGAAGCTCTAACCTCTGTCACCCTCTGAAGCTCTGGGGGCGGCAGTGCAGGCTTTCAGGAAACTTGAGCCTTTGTGGGACCATCTGGATCTCACATTTCATAACAAAGCAACATGCTTTTTGGTCTCTGATGCGTGGCTTCACTTTGCTGTCAAATGATACCGTCCACCTCCTCACCCAGACCTAYTTATTGTAATCATGTGTCACAGTTGGGTTATTTGTTTTTGGTTATATAAAAACAGCTGCTGCAGATTATAATCTGAGTCGGTCTTGCCTTTTGCTGAGAGTTCCGGACGGGGTCCTGTCCCTCTGTCTGCGGTTCTTGAACCAGTTGCTGACCTGTGTGAGGGACAGTCCTGTGACTTTGGCCAGGTTCTTCTTCTCGTCCGGAGTCGGGTACCTGTTGCTCTTGTAGCACTCCTTCAGCGCGTTGCGGGACTTCTCCTTGAAGCAGTACACGGTCTCCTCCCCGTCCCAGATGGTTTTGGGCAGGGGGAACTTTTTCCTGAGCCGGTATTTGTCCACGGCGCCCAGGCTGCGGCCCCGGGACCTCTCCGCCTCCTTGTAGCGCGCTTTGAGGTACAGGTCCTGCAGGAACCCATGGTTCGACGGGTGGAAGTCGTGGCTCTCCAGGAGGGCGTACAGCTCCTTGAACTCCTCCCGGTGGAAGGCCACCAGAGCCTGGGCCTTCAGCAGGGTCTCGTTGCCACGTAGCAGCTCGGACGAAGGAGGTATGGTGGAGAGAAATCTCCACAGGCGATCCACATTGCCCGCCTGCAGGAGGGCCTCGCAGAGACACGAAACCTGGTCTGTGGAGAAACTCAGAGCCGACTTTTGGAAACTTTGGAGCAGTTCTTCCGAAACCTGGACGGGATCTTCCTCTTTTTTGGGCTCCTCTGGGCTGCTCTCTGATTGTTCTGTGGATTCTAAAGACAAGGAAGCCATTTTCACTTTAACTTTTTTTCCCCCACCAGTGGTTCCTCCTCCCCCTGTCTCCCTCCCTCCTCTCTCCTGCCGCCTGCCTGCCTCTGAGGTTTAATGTGCCTGCGAGCAAAAAAAAAAAAAAAAAAAAAACAGGCAGGTTACTTTCACTGTAATAATTAAATCCAACAATTAAAGCTCTAAGTTATTAAAAAGTTGCAGTTTTCCCCTAGTTTTTCTTCAGAAGGCTTTCAAAATTAAACAAACAGGGTATGAATGTTGTTAAACTTTCTCTGGTGTTAACCCAACAGTTATCTGTGACTCAGAAATAAATCCCACTACCATTAAACTGTACATTTAAATGAAAATCATGCATGGTCCTTTCATAAATTTCACTCATGAGAAAAACAATAATAACAATAATAATAAAAATATCTGAATAACAAAAATTTCCTCTTAATTTTTTTCTACTTTTCTTTACATGATTAATGTAGGTTTGGCTGACTKATGATAAGACATGTAAATGTATGTGGAGTAGTTTTACCTTTGTCTGAAACAATGTACATACATTTATCACAAGTGGTGTAATTAAGAAATTATAAATGCATGATTTTATGTGATAACATCAAAAGAACAGTGCAAATTAAACAAACAAAAAGGTCAACTTTATTCAGTGTTTCCCAAAGTTGGGGTCAGGACCCAAAGTGGGGTCCTGAAAAGATTTTCTGAATTAATTACATTTTTGCCTTTGTTGTTACAAAGTGTGAGGTTAGTATATTTAAAATGGATAAATGTAGTATAAAAAATATTGTTACTATGCCCATGTTTTGTTGACCTGATTCAAATGTTTATCATACAAAAATAGCTGGGGGCACAGGTCTCTCCTACTGTTATTTTGTGGGTCAAAAGCTGAAAAGTTTGGGAACCACTGCACTTTGGTTCCCAAAGTTGGGCTTGGGACCCAATTATGGGTCATGAAGCACCTTGGATAATCTCCAGAAATCAATTTAAAGGGTAATAAAATAATTGCTGATGTAATATTTTCCCTATAATTATTACAAAAACACAAAATAAGTATAAATAAGTATTTATATTTGTGTACAAGCTGTTTAGATGGTCAAAAAACTGTGTTTTTAGGGTTATTAATGAAGTTCGTGTACTCAGACCAGTAATCAGACCAGGGGTCACAGGTTTTTGCCATGAATATTTTGTGGGTCAGAAGATAAAAAGTTTGGGAACCACTGCTCTATATGACTAAAGGATAACTGTGATGAATAAATTATTATTATTATACTGATGAAAATATAGGGTACAGTATATTTATATCAGAAATATGTGCCTTTCATAATAATATTATTAAAGAAAAACAGCAGTTTTACTAACATAAAAGTTTGATTTTTTTTAGCAAATTGTTTTATGGGAGTTTAAAATGTCCAAATTAAGTTTCAAAATTTATTTCAATAGACTAAAATGAAATGCACTTTTTTGTGTTTAGACAGCATGCTTACAAAAAATCATTTAGGAAAACCTGTTGTCACTACAAGGAAGAGTACAAAGAAATTAAAATAACAATATATGTAGATTGGTTATTTATTGCTGGTTTGGGTCAAATTTCATTTAGACATTATGGTTATTATTTGTTTTGTTTGTTATTTGTTCTGGTTTAACCATTATCCATATTTTAGCGTAACATGGTTTGAACAAGCACATTTATTAGTATAACCGTTCAGTTTTCTCCCATGATCACACTGATTAAAATGTAAAGTTTTCACCTGTATCTACAAGTCTAAATGCSAACCTTAAGAGAGAGAACATGTGATAATAGAGCATGGAAAAATGGTCATTATGATAAGATATATGGTCTAAAGATAAGATGTGAGGAATGTAAATRTTTACTGTGGGAAGCAGGTTAAGTTGAAGGTTTGTTTTAGCCCCTCCTCTCCTTTCATCCATTCAGTTTTAACTTCAAGCTTCTTTTCTTTTCTTCAGGCATAACGCGGCTGATAAATATGGCTTGGAATAGGAGGTGGAGTATTCTGTTTTTCTGTTAAATAAACGGCTAACAAATGAAGTTTAACTGGACTTTAGCACCCCCTATTGGTTATTTCAGTTTTGTTCACTCCTGTCTGACGATTGGTAGCCATTGTTGTCAATCAGCATTTYTAGTGGGCGGTCCCTCAGCTTGGTTTCTTGTAATTTCATTGGTCAAATCGGTTTGATCTCACACTTGATTGGTTGGTTTCACCTGAGGCGGGTAGAACCTTCCAGAGTAGGGCGTAAACAGGAATTGTCGCGTGAGTTTCTGGCATAAAATACAATTCAGAGTTAAATGCAGAGTTCCTTGTTTTTAGAGCACTACGGTTACTCCGGATTCCTGAAAAGCARATAGTCGACTGTTGTCTTCACGATTTGTTTCCACTTTTGAGAAAAGTAAGTAACTGTGGCAACATTGTGTTTGTGTGTCTCRGTGGACCCAACGTGACTGGTAGTACTGTCTGATTACAGCTAGCTAGCAGCAGCATGCAGCTAACTATTTCAAACGAGCCATCCAGTAAGAACATATAAGAGGAAAATTAATCGATTACAACAGATTTGTTTAATWAAAGGGAAGACTAACAGTTACAGCAATAGTTTATACTTACACGTAAAAACAATAATGGAATGTCACAAGTTAGTAAACCCCTCTTTGAGGTGTTTACAACAGTCAAAGTTGTATTTAGATTAGATTAGATTAGACCTTTATTGTCATTGTACAGAGCACAATGAAATTACAGTCCAGAGCACCCAATTTATAACATTGTATCTAATTCTAGGATGACTTTAAAGATGCAATTCAACTTATTTTGTCCACATTTCCAGGCCTTGTTCATTAACATTGAGAAGGATGGACGGTGGAGTTATAGTTACCAACCCCATTGTGACAGTTCGTGTGACCAGCACCCTGTCCTCCTTCGAGTCGCTGCGCAAGTTCGATAGAGGGATTACTATAGCAGAACTGAAGGTAAAACTCACACAACAGATCTGATGGACACTTGAAGTGGGCTTACGTTGATAACACATACCATCCTGACTGTACTCTTTTTTTATCATGTTGAACTCAGGGAAAACTGGAGATGATTGTGGGCATTCCTGCCTCCGCCATGGATTTGGAAATTCTTAGTGTCTCTGATAAGTTTTTACAGAAAATAGACAGTGATGAAGCTTTACTTGGCTCCTATCCTGTGGATGACAACTGCAGAATACATGTATGTACAATAAAAATAATTCATAATATAGTGTGTTTGCAGAAATGTCGTCAAATGTTCACATTTCCAGAGGAGCTTGCAGTGACAGTCAAAGCAGTGTTCATTTACTTTAGCAAACTACAAATATTATTACAATGAATTAAGACATTTTTGACAAGAAAATGAAGAATGTCACAAAGATACCTCATATTTAATCAGAACTGAAGATCACGTTGAATTTAAAAGCACCACACCCATCATATGAGCGAAGTGCCTAGTGTGCAGAGACTTTGAAAAACAGATGAAGCTCTCGCTTTTCCAAATGTTCGTCAGTCAGTCGCGTGTTGGAGTTTAATTTACCAAAAGTAATCCTAAAGTATTATTCAAGCATGCAGAACTGACGTGATCCTTTCTAAAAAAAAATTTTTTTTCTGCACAGGTTATCGATAAAAGTGGAGGTCAGGTGGGCGAATTGTTTGATGTTTCCAAAGTGGAAAAGTTTGAGCTCTCAAATGAAGTATATGATAAAAGAACTGGTAAGAGTTTCTGCACTTGATTTTTCAAAACTAAATTAATTAAGATTTATATTTTGATAAAATTACCAGTTTTTAATGTAAATTAATATCTGACAAAATATAATTACTGATATTGAAGCTTTTTGGTGAATATTTTAGTCTAGGCTTGAGTTACTGTTGATTGCTTTGATGATGCCAAGTGTTTAATATGGAAATTTTGTATTTTTCTTGAGTATCTGCAAGGTCATTTATGAAAAAACACCAATTTGGTCGTTACGACAACGATCGGGTTGCTAAGAAGAATGCTGAGATTGCTGCTCAGCTTGAAGAGCAGAAGGCTGCTGCTGATGCCATTTCCGTTGGCAGCCGCTGTAAAGTGGAAGTCACTGGGCAACCCACAAAACTTGGAACTGTCWTGTATGTTGGTAAGTGTAGAGAAAGCTTAGTCTTTTTATTTTAGTTTAAGATTTTAAAGTTGTAATGACAGCTTTTCCTGATCTACTTTGCTTTACTAGTCAAAGTAACTCCTAAGTTTTTTTACTTTATTGTATGTATGTACGTAAGGACAGTGCACTGAACTGTAATAAAAACTTTGGAGATAACAAGAAAATGCTTTTATTTAAGTTTTTTTAAGTACTTTACATGGGCTGGGAGTGGTTTCATATTAAAGGATGATTTCATCGGTTTTGCAGGCACAACAGAGTTCAAGCCTGGTTACTGGGTGGGTGTGAAGTACGACGAGCCCCTCGGAAAGCACGACGGAACGTAGGGGCAATGAATTTTTACTTTTTTTTCTCCTAATAATTGAATGGATTCAGCGTTGTTGGAAGTAATTTCACCTGATGTTTTCATCTTGTCTTCACAGAGTTCAGGGGAAAAAGTACTTTGAATGCGATAACAAATACGGAGCGTTTGTGAAGCCACTGAGCGTGACGGTGGGAGACTTCCCTGAGGAGGATTACGGTTTAGATGAGATTTAACTGGACAGACTGGATAAAAGTTATTGTTTTCTTTAATTTGGTCAATCCTTTGACTGTAAGTTGAAGCATCTTCTGATCATAAATCAGAAGAATGATAGTCATTTTAGTACTACATATAGTTTTTTGTTGTGCTTCTCTGGTGGGCGCAATCCAAAAGCACTTTAGCATCTTTTTTTTCCTGCAACGTGACAAAGAATTCAGTCAGTGTTTCATAAAGGAAGGAGTTTTTTAGCCTACGATGGATTTTGTTATTTTACTCCATGTACTACTTTAATGTTAATTCCAATGCTTAAATTTGTTATTTTTGGTCAATATTAGTGTGGTTAAAAATGATTGTATAAAAATGTTCACAATGAATCGTAGCCCTGGTATTTTCAAGACAGTACATTTCTTTGTTATTCTCTGTGATTTGGATGTTTGKAAGAATTACCCTGCCAGACTTTGAAACATTACATTTATAACCTACTGAAGTTATTCTAAATCTGTAAGATGTACTTCCAGTTAGACTTAGCCAATAGAGCACCATAAATAGTAGTGTTTAAGTGTATGTGTTGGTGTTGCAGCCCTTCAGATCCAAATTTCTTGATGCTAGGTTGGCCCTTGAAAGACCAAATACTTCAAATCCCATCAAACTCTGATTTCACATCTTTATTTCTCACTGTACTGTTTTTATACATGTTCCATACTCAAAATGAGTCAACTTTGGAAAAATGTGCGTTTTGAWTTAACAATGTTTTGTTTTGGAGAAAATGTAAATTTGCATTTTAATGTCTTTGCAGTGAAATATTAGTAGACATGTATATTTTTTAGTTTTCCATTGATCTCTGAAGTGCTGGTGTTACTGTGTGCCAAAGGTTATAAGGACAAAAATAAAAAGATCAGTATAAAATTGATCAGATTGCATCAGTTCTGCCTCCTGTCCTTTTGTTAGGATCACCATCTCTAAACCATAAATCATGTCTTGATCTTTCCCTGATGTGATCACTTTAAAACCTTCAGTCATTATTTTGTAGTAGCTGAACACATATCAAATCATGCCATTTTATGTCCTCCATGTAGTTAAATGATGCAAAAGAAATGAGTTTASTTTGAGGATAGTTCTGTTATTTTCCTAAACTTGGGCAATACACACACTTGCAATTTTTCCTGTTAATTACAAGATCTATTGTTCAAGTCCTAATGTTTATTGTTTATTTTATTTTTTAGTTGTTTTTTTTTTTTGCTTCAAAGCTCATAATCTTAGAGTCTGTAGTGACTGCATGACAAGGCCGAATGTTACACGCACTTTCATCATCATGTCGTGACAAGAAAGGGCCAATTTTTCTAGTCCTCACTATTTTTCCTTTAAAAGGCTACGATGACGTTTCCCTTTTGAGTTCTCGCGAGATTTCGCGCACTTTCCCCACCAGCCAGCTAGCTAGCAGAGTGATGTGTGCGCGATAGAGACGGAGAAAGATGGCGACGCAGGGGAGCGAATCAACTAAATCTACCGTGAGCAACGGGGAGGTAAAATTAATGACACTCACAGCAGTTGCTTACACGTAGCGGCTGGTAAATGTGGGCCGAGTCGATGGTTTTGAACGTCGTGTGCGGGACTTTTACCACTGAAGTGTTTCGTTACGCGAGCTTCAGTGACAGTTGACTTGAGTGCCGGCTGGTTTTTAAAACGACCTCCTGGCTCTCTTTACGATGTGTTGTGAAATCCTGACCGCTAAACGAGTAGAGATGCGAAGCGAGGGCAGCGTAGACGGTGACATTTTACCTGAAAACGAACGTCGAAAGAAAAGAGAGACGATAATTAGGTGACTGTATCGGTGTGAACCAGCTGACAACCGCAGCGTGACACAAGAAGAAGAAGAAGGAGGAGGAGGAGGCCTGAACCTGAACAGCGCAGCATGGCTCGATTTACCGGGCTAACAGTTAGCCTCTCTCCCCTTCAGTCAGCCTATTTTAGTAAATCTTTTACCTCCTGACTTTATCCACATTATAAACACAAAGCTTGACTTGACAGCATCGCCGCCTTTTAACAGTCAACCAAAAAAGATTAGTCATGGTCAAAAATGTGTAACCTTTAAAAATAATGGAAGACATATCTAAACATGAGCAGAGTTTTATGAACGGACTTGAGGGTTTAGGAGACCTAAAATGCATTGAATATGAAGCTGGATACGAATGTCTTCAAATTTCAATAGAAATAAAATGAGGGAGTGTTTAGGACATAACTTAAAATGACCAAAACCACGTGGAAATGACTCCTGAAAATAAYAATAATGTGTTCTAATCAAACATGAGCATCACTCATTAAAAAGTGACACTAAAAAATGAATTCAACAGCTAATTTATTATACCTAGTAGGTTTCTGAGTCATTGRGAAGAAGAGGCTGTGTTCTCAGGTTTGTGGCTTCATCATAACTAAATTCTATAAATCTAAAAAAAAAGTTTTTCCCCAAAACATGATTAATGTTTATTATGTCAYCAAAGGACGTTGTGAATAGCTTTAGAAGGCAAACCAATAGTCTCCCTTGTGCCTAATGCTAAATCCCATAAAATAACCTAATGTAGTTGCAAAAAAATCTATAAAACAGATTAAAAATGAGAGCCTTATAGCAGATGCTTGTCTATAAAGAGGACCAGAAGGCAGTTAGCAATCAGTAAGATGCTTATGGGTTGATATTACCATTTTTTTTCTTTTAGATTGTGTTAATGTTCAAATCTGAACTATTTAGTATGTCTCCCTCCATCCATCCATTCTTTTACCCACTTCCTTAGGGTCACATATGGAGCTGGTGCCTATCTCCAGCAGTTACTGTGTGACAGGCAAAGTACACCCTGTCCAGGTCCCAAGTCCAGCACAGGAACACGTAGAGACAAACCACACACTCACATCAAGGGACAATTTAGTGTTACCAATTAACCTATGTGTTTTTGGTCTGTGGTTAACTGGACTGGAGTCCCTGTAGAAAGCTCACAAGTGCACAGGGAGACCATGCAAACTACACAGATCGAAAAGCAATGTTCTCTAAATTCAACTTGTGATTTTATCCTCAATCAAAAGGTCATCAACTAGGAGAAGAGTACAWTGTGCAGTAAATGTCTCCTGTGCTCTAAAACTGCTCTAAGGATAAATGTGCTGTTACTTACAGAAGGACCACTCGTGTAGCTCTTTAAGCTTCCTAATCTGAATTTTTGTGTAAAGATTTGAGAGGTTCAGTCTGTAGCCAGATATAATCACAGGTGTCTGATCTGCTGTTAGGTGTAATAACAGGGACCTCAACACAAGTGTCAGTGTTTTCTTGTGTGACCTGAATGCTTAATATTGAAAGCCTGACTATGTTTTCCACTTTATCTGTGTGGTAGTACAGACAGAGTTTTTAATCCTATTTATATATCTCGCTTTGTTTTATAACCCCAGTGTTGTAAACATTACTAGCAATATCCATTGCTTTGAACATTTGTTACACCTGAACTTGTCCTATTTAAATGTCAGACAAATGGATAACCTGGTGTGAAGCATTGACCCTAAATACCAAGTTAATTATTATTCTCTAATACACAGTGTTATTACATTAACATTTGTTTTTGTTTGACTGAATTGTTCAACTTCTGTTTATACCGAAATAAAATGAACATTGACATATTTACCACACCAGAACACTGACATAAGGATGAAAGGGCCTCTTTAGGGCCTTGAACTAATCTGTTTATCATGTTGTCTTCCATTTTCTGCATGTCTCGTACATAACAGAATTTGACAATAAAGGTGACTTGACCTTGCTTGCACCTTAGAACAAACGTTCACATTTTTAGTGTTCACTAATTTTTTTAGGCTGTCAACACCCTTATAAACAATACCCTGTTTGAACAGAACACAGTGTTTTCGTCTGCAATGTGTTGTTCGTTTGAAGAGGCCAACCATTTGTGTTTATGACAACAGGGGGAGATTGGATGTTTAGATAGAGAATGAGCCTCATGACTTGGCATGTGCTTGTCTATTGTGTCATTTGAATGGAGTGTGGGGGCTTGGAAGGATTAATAAAAAGCTAAATAAAAAAGCAAACTGATTAAAAATTTTACTGACATAAAGTGATAGTTGATATATGCCATAATTTCCTCACATATCAGTCATTTAATGTACTCCTAAACCCTACAGTGGATCTACAACTCAGGCGATGTTAATTCCTTCAAGGAGAGCCACACATTAAATTTTATATTTGGCTAATAGATTATTCATGCCAGAAAAGAACAATGTACCAATTTTGACTGAGCATAAATTTGTTATATAAAGTAAAATAACTTAATGAAATCAGTGGGTGCTCTTTTTAATGCATAATGACGCTGATCATAGGGCTGTGTATTGGCAAGAATTTGACGATACGATACATATCATGACAGAGGGGTCACGATACGAAATATCCCGATAAATTTCGATATATTTCGATACCGTAAACAAGGCGATATATTGTGATATTTTTGGTCCAAAAATTCTATTAAATAAAAACCTCTTACTGGAAAAAAAAAAACCGAAAAAACAAAATTCATTGTCTCAGAAAATTCTAATATTACATAAACATACTTTTGATACAAAGCATATACATACTTTGTATACTTTTGATACAAAGCAT